CTCCTCTCTCTCTCTTTCTCTCTCTCCTTCTCTCTCTCCTCTATCTCTTTCTCTCCACTCTCTCTCTCCTTCTCTCCTCTCCTCTCTCTCTCTCCCCTTCTCTCTCTCTCTCCCTTTCTCTCTCTCCTTCTCTCTCTCCTTTCTCTCTCTCCACTTTCTCTCCTCTCTCTCTTTCTCTTTCTCTCTGTCTCCTCTCTCTCTCTCCTTCTCTCTCCCTCCCTCCCTTTTCTCCCTCCCTCTCTCTCCCCCTTGACAGAAGGAGCCCTAGGTTCAAATCCCATCCCCCTCCCGACCCCCCCCCTTTCCCTCCCCCCCTCTTTCTCTCCCCAGTGGGACTCCATCAACGAGATGGACGAGTTCTTCCAGCCCATTCACACCTACCAGGTGTGCAACGTCATGACGGCCAACCAGAACAACTGGCTGAGGACCAGCTGGATTCAGCGGCACGGCGCCCACCGGGTTTATGCCGAGATCCGCTTCACCCTGCGGGATTGCAACAGCATGCCCGGCGTCTCGGGCACCTGCAAAGAGACCTTTAACCTCTACTACCTCCAATCCGACCGGGATCTGGGCGGCACCACCCGCGAGAGCCAGTTTGTCAAGATCGACACCATCGCGGCCGACGAGAGTTTCACCAACGTGGACCTCGGGGTCCGGCGGCTGAAGCTGAACACCGAAGTCCGGGGGGTGGGACCCCTGACCAAGCGGGGTTTCTACCTGGCCTTCCAGGACATCGGCGCCTGCATCGCCGTCGTCTCCGTCCGCGTCTATTACAAGAAGTGTCCCGCCATGGTCCGGAACCTGGCGGCTTTCTCTGAAGCGGTCACGGGGGCAGATTCCTCCTCCCTGGTGGAGGTGCGGGGGGAGTGCGTTGTGCACTCAGAGGAGAGGGACACCCCCAAAATGTACTGCAGCGCGGAGGGGGAGTGGCTGGTGCCCATCGGGAAGTGCGTCTGCAGCGCTGGGTACGAAGAACGGAAGGACGCGTGTTCAGGTAAGACCCCGGTTGGGGAGGATGGTTTGGGGTGTACCAATAGGGCGGCAAGAGAAAAATCCTTGCCCCAGCCAGTCCTCGACTTAACGACCACAACGGAGCCCTCGATGTCTCTTGCTAAGCAAGACGGTTGAATTTCGTTCCGTTTTATGACCCTTCTTGCCACCATCGTTTTTAAGTGAATCATTCCAGTGGTCAAGTCAGGAGTGATACGGTGGCCTTAGAGGCGGAGCTCTTGCCTCACAATCAGAAGGCTGTGAGTTCGATCCTAGGAAGAGGCGGATATTTTTCTCTCTGGGCACCATGAGCATATGATCTGCTGAACAAAACTCCGTACTGGCAACGGGTAGGGCATCCAGCCAGTAAAACACTCTTGCTAGCTTTATTCTGTTTCCCAGACTCCACCCCGCAAGGGATGATGGGGTTATTAAAAGAAGATGATTCCAGTGGTTCAGCGAATCCGGCTTCCCCATTGACGTGGTTCATCGGAAGGTCGCGAAAGGGGGATCGCAAGACCCTGAGGCGCTGCAACCATCGTAAACATGAGTCAGTGGCCAAGCGTCCGAATTTGGATCACGTGACCACGGGGTGTAACAATCATAAGGGTGAAAAGGGATCTTAAGTCCGTCTGTCTGTCTGTCTGTCAGACAGATGGATGGACGGACGGACGGACGGACAGACAGATGGAGAGATAAAAAATAATAGAGACATGAAAATAATAGAGATGCAAAAATAATAGAGATGCAATAGAATATCTCATGTCTCACAGAAAGTCATTTCCCCACACTCAAAGAATCTTTTATTAGTAATCTTTCCAGATAAAACCGTCTTTTCCAGGTGATCGATATTTCCAGGTTAAACAAACAAACAAAAAAAATCTTTCGGACCCAACCTGGTGCTGTAAAAAGCTGGATTTTCTTGCGTCCCCGAGTAAAACAAATACACACCGTTGGGATTGTGCGCAGAAAGAGAAATATTTGCCAAATTAAGCCCCAATGTTTGAAGGACTTAGGAGATTTAAGGAGATCAGGGAAATGAGGCATCCGTGGAAGCAGCTCGAAGGAAGAAAGAAAGGCTCGGCAACTGGCGTGCACTTATGTCGGTTGAAGTGACTCTCCCACCAGTAAAGTCAATGGGCGAGCCAGATTCCCTTCAACGATGGGGGCACAAAAAGGACATCCAACGGGGCAAGAGC